TACACTCACCTCTTACAACCCTAACAACATCCTATACTCACCCCATGACTTTACTATGATATTATTTGGTGATACAAGGTCGCCAGTGAAAATATTATCCCTTCAGAAGAGATAACGACAAGGGGGGGGGTGAAGACGATTGAACTTGTGTTGAGGAAGTACTGAGCTTTACTCGGATTATACTTTATACTGATGTGATTGTTAGACTGCGGTTTAATGATTGAGGTCGATTTATACAAGGAAATATGGATGAATTGGATTGGGGCTAAAGTTTTGAGATCTAATTTGGGGGGGGGGGGGGGGTTAATGAACTTTTTTTCTATTTCTATAATTATTACTATGTACTTAATTTTGATTTGAGATAAATATTGTATTATCCATGAACTTAGTAGATATATTTTTTGTAGCATATATGATAATAGAATAGAGAGAAGGTGAAAGTGAGAATTTTATTTTGTTATAACGGATTAGCAAAAGTAAAAATAATTAATATAAACTGGAATAGCATGACACACTTAACATAAAAGTAAAGAACATACTTGTTTTTGTCTTTTGGGTAAATTTTTTTATATAATAAGTATATTATAACCTCCCTAATGTTAAAACTATATTCTAAATTTGTAAATAAAACTACCAATAGTTATTAAATGACATTCATTATCTTCACAAAATAACCTTGAATTTTTCACAAACAACCATGGATCTTCATAATTTTCGCAAAGACCATTGAAATTTCATATATTTATAGAAAAATATTGAAACTTCATAATTTTTTACAGATAAACCCCTATATAGTTCAAAACTTAAATCTTAAGAAGATTGAAAGAAGTATATGATCTAAATTGTAAGAAAATTAAAAATAATTCCTCAAATGTTGTTATAATTACATTCAAAATGAAACTCTTCCATTAACTAAATAATAAATTGTGTAAAGTATTAGAACATAAAACAAATATGTACACGTGCAACGCACGTGCGCTATACTAGTATTAATAAATGAGTGGGTAGGAAGTTTGTTGGACATCAATTTAACTAGATAGAAATTTTATTATATATATATATATATATATAGTTCAGCGTTCTTCAGCTCTGTCGTTCATCGTCCAGCAGCTATCATTCGTCGTCTAGCATCTCTCGTTCAACGTTTTTCAGCAGCTGACCGTTAAACATTTTATGGAGATTTAAATGGAGAGCTTGAATTCAGGTGTGCAGGGTCTAGTTGTTTTGATTGTAATGGATCTAGATTCAGTATTTAAATACTTAGTCATATTATTTATTATATAGGAGCTTACACGCTTAAACATTTTATGGATATTAAATGGAGAGTTTGAATTCAGTTGAACACGTTATAGTTGTTAATCTAGATTAACTGCATTGAATCGAGATTCATTGTTAGAGATTGCAGTGTTTTTCATAATTTATTCACTTGTTCACTGCAGTGAATCTGGATTCAATGCAGTGAATCGAGATTCACTCCAGATTAATTTGCAATGATATGAATTCAATAAAGTTAATCGAGATTCACTCCAGTGAATCTAGATTCATTTCGATGAATCCCGATTCAATATATCAAAACTTAGTCCTATGACTTATTATCTAGGAGTTTCTAGTGAATCTCGATTCAATATAGTGAATCTCGATTCACTTGAGTGAATCGAGATTCACTGCATTGAATTGAGATTCACTAGAGTGAATCGCGATTCAGTGAATCTCGATTCACTTGAGTGAATCGAGATTCACTGCATTGAATCGAGATTCACTGCATTGAATCGAGATTCACTAGAGTGAATCGCGATTCATTGGATGTATCTCTATTCACTAAAGTGAATAGCTACTTAGTGAATCGAGATTTTTATTCACTCAAACATAGAGAATCTCGTTTCACTAATTATATGGTTTAATTTCACTGTTAATATACATAAACCATATATGGTTTAATTAGTGAATCGGTTAATATACATAAACCATATATGGTTTAATTAGTGAATCGAGATTCACTGCATTGAATTTAACCATATATACTCAAATTAGTGAATCGAGATTCACTGTTAATATACATAAACCATATATGGTTTAATTAGTGAATCGAGATTCACTGCATTGAATTTAACCATATAAACCATATGTACTCAAATTAGTGAATCGAGATTCACTCCAGTGAATCCAGATTCATTGCGATGAATCCAGATTCAGTATATAAGAACATAGCCATATTATTTATGTTCTTTTATTTTCAGTTGTAGGCAGCAATGAACAAATTAAGGAACCACATGTTATAAATGCATCGGACAGTGATTTTTTGGAAGATGGAATGGACGAAGTTAGCTCGATTCCTTTTAAATCACCAGGTGGTGGTATGTATTGGAAACCTCGGGTTGAAGCCGAATTTAAACCTTATCTAAACCAAAGCTTCCGATCACTAGAGGATGGTATAGAGTTTTACCGAGAGTATGGACGTAAAAGTGGGTTTGAGATCAGACGGCATACAGAGAAGAAACATGAGGAGTATGGACGTAAAAGTGGGTTTGAGATCAGACGGCATACAGAGAAGAAACATGAGGACGGTACAGTTCTGCTTAAACACATTGTTTGCAGTAGAGTTGGCAGCAATGAATCAGAGATGGATGTTGATTTTAATGATTTTAGTAGCAGTTCGAAAAAGAGAAGGAGAACTGTATCTAGTAGATGTGGTTGCAAAGCTAAAG